GTGTGCCCATTTTACAGATCAGGAGCTAAGCAGCAAGTCTGAAACCCAAATGTTCTCATCTCTGGGTCATTCTGAGTCTCACACTCGGACGGTAGGTTGCTACCGAGTTGCTGCCTCCAAGATCAATTCATTCCTTAATATGAAAAAGTCTACACAGATAGTCCTCGACTTACGACCATAATTGAGCCCAAAGTTTCTGGTGCTGTACGAGACACATTTGTTATGTGAATTTTGCCCCATTTTAGGGCCATTCTTGCCATAGTTGTTAAGTGAGTCACTGCAGTTAATAAGTTAGAAACCAAGTCAATTTGTCAATTTTAATAGATTTTGTTAAGTAAATCTGGCTTCCCTATTCTCTGCTTGTCAGGAGGTTTGCAAAAAAAAATGGTCATATGACCCTGGGAAACTGCAACGGTTATAAATAGGAACAAGTTTCCAAGCATCCAAAGTTCGATCACGTGACCCCAGAGGATGCCACAATGACTCTGTGAAAAATAGTCCTAAGTCACTTTTTTCAGTGCTGTTGTAACTTCAAATGGTTGTTGTAAGTTGAGGACTCCAGGTAGCCCTCAACTTACAATGGTTTGTTTAGTGACTGTTCCAAGTTGCAACAGCACTGAAAATGGTGACTTACGACCATTTTTCATAGATACGACCTTTGCAGCATCCCCACGATCATGTGATCAAAATTCAGGTGCTTGGCAACTGACTCGTACTTATGACCGTTGCTATGTCCTAAGGTCATGTGAACCCCCCTTCGCGCCCTTCTGACAAGCAATGGGGAAGCCAGGTTCTCTTAGCAACCAGATTACTCACTTAGCAACGGCAGTGATTCACTTAATCACTGTGGCAAGAAAAGTCGCAAAATGGGTCAAAACCCATTTAACGAATGCCTCAGTTGACGACGTAAATTTTGGGCTCGATTGTGGTCGTAAGTCGAGGACTACCTGTACTTGCAGGTAGTCCTTCTGGATTACCACTTCTGGATAACAAACTCTTAAGTAACAAAACCATGGAAGCTTTTTCTTTATGCCAGCTGCCCCCAACCTTTCTGGCTTGGCAGCCTGCCTGGGTGGGGTGGGGTGGGGTAAGGAGGGTAAAGGGAATGGTTATTTGTGAGTGGCAGGTGTGCATGCAAGAGTGCACAGCTCCATTTGCACAAGCGACAGGTGCTTGTGCGGCCCGGTTCTCAGTGAGTCACAGACCGGTAGTGGGCCATGGTCTGTGGGGGGGGGGGTCGGGGACCCCTGCTTTATACAAAAGGATTTCCTAAATTGCTTTATCAGCCTGACTGGAAATGACTCACCTGCTTCATTTCTAAATATTATTCTATTAAAGGCTAAACAGGGAAGCCAGAGTGACAAAGAGGCAAGGGCTAAACTAGATCCCCGGTTACTTTGATAGACCTTCTACCCCTTTAGCAAGAGAAACTAAGGCACAAAGTAAAACTTTTCCTAACATGCAGATACAGGGCAGTGAAGGGGGAAGCTTCACCTGCTGAATTTCTATATGCAATAGAGGAGCTCAGTATTCAGGTGCCCTATGACTGCTCCCCCCCCCCCAACCTTTTGGGCAACAGGGGACCATTTACCTAGAGCAGTGTTTCTCAACCTTGGCAACTTGAAGATGTCCGGACTTCAACTCCCAGAATGCTGGCTGGGGAATTCTGGGAGTTGAAGTCCGGACATCTTCAAGTTGCCAAGATTGAGAAACACTGACCTAGAGAGATATTTTTTTCCATGGACTGGAGGAGGTGTGGTTTCATGTGCTGCCTGCATCCCATGGATGGNTAGATAGATAGATAGATAGATAGATAGATAGATAGATAGATAGATAGATAGATAGATAGATATAGACGGATAGATAGATAGATGAGATGATAGAGATAGAAATATAGAGATAGCAATAGCAATAGCAGTTAGACTTATATACCGCTTCCTAGGGCTTTTAGCCCTCTCTAAGTGATTTACAGAGTCAGCATATTGCCCCCAACAACAATCCAGGTCCTCATTTTAGCCACCTCGGAAGGCTGGAAGGCTGGCTGGGGGATTCTGGGAGTTGAAGTCCACAGGACTTAAAGTCGCCAAGGTTGAGAAACACTGCATTAGTAGATTGAACTGAAAGTCAGTCTTTGCAAAAATTCTGCAAGCTGGAAAAGGAATTGATTCAAAGGACTAAGCTTTTAGCCAAATCCATGCTCCCTTTTCTTGGGAGCCTCAGCTCTTTGGTAGTTTTCCTCACCACTTCCCTTGCGTAGGTAACCTTTGGCTTACAACCATCCATTTATTGACTTTATGAAGTTACCATGGCAGTGTTTCTCAACCTTGGCAACTTGAAGATGTCCGGACTTCAACTCCCAGAATGCTGGCTGGGGAATTCTGGGAGTTGAAGTCCGGACATCTTCAAGTTGCCAAGATTGAGAAACACTGACCTAGAGAGATATTTTTTTCCATGGACTGGAGGAGGTGTGGTTTCATGTGCTGCCTGCATCCCATGGATGGGGCTTTGCTTGTTTGCGTGGCCCAGTTTCTGGCATGCTGCAGACTGATGTGTGTGCGTGCGTGCATGTGCGCGCACACTCATGATCAGTCCAGAAAGTTGCCTATCGTTCTTAAAGGAGGTAGGATTGGAATACAATAAATACCTTTAAAATATTGATCCACACATTGTTTGTAAACCATAGTTTATTTAAACAGGTTTATTCAGTAACCCATAATCAGCAGGGCTCACTCAATGCACCTAGCAGTAAGAGCATAATTTCTGAGCTTTCCCAACAAGATAAGCCAAAAGGAAGCAAACACAGCCACAATCATTCCAAAAATATCTTTTAGTTAAATTCTGGGGATTTCCTCTCTTTAAATTAAATTCTCCTAACCATCCTTTGTAGAACTCTGATTATATTTGGAAGTATTCCAAAAAAGTATATAGGAAGTTCTTGACTTATCACCATTCATTTAGCAATCATTCAAAGTTATGATGGTACTGGAAAAAAAAAAACCCCAGTACTCCCCTTTATGACTGGTCCTCACACTTACGGCTGTTGTAGTGTCCCCAGAATCATGTGATCAAAATTTGGGTGCTTGGTAATTGGCACATATTTACAAAAATTGCACCAGGTCACATAATCATGATTTGCAACCTTCCCAGCTGACTTTCAACAAGCAGACAATGGGAAAAGCCAAATTTGCTTAATGTATGTGAGTACCTTAATGACCATGGTGATTCGCTTAACAGCCATAGCAAAAAAAAAAAAAGTCCTAAAATGGATGCAATTCACTCAACAACTACCTTACTTAGCAATTTAGATTCTGGTCACAATTGTGGTTATAAGTTGAGGACTACCTCAACTTATATGCCCAAGAGAGCTCTGACTTAAGGGAATAGTCTATGTTTAAGTGCAAAAAAAGAGAAACCAGAATCACGAACCTGTCATAGATCCTTGTTAGCTGAAGACTGGTATGGTGGTGTAGTTACAGATAGTCCTTGACTTACAAAAGTTCACTTAGTGACTGTTCAAAGTTACAACAGCACTGAAAAAAACGACTTATGACCATTTTTCACATTTACAATCTTTGCAGCATCCCCATTCGGACATGCGATCCAAATTCAGACGCTTGGCAAACTGATTCATATTTATGACGGTCCCAGGGACACAAGGCCCCCTTTTGCGACCTTCTGACAAGCAAAGCCAATGGGGAATCCAGACTCACCCAACCACCGTCGCTACTAACTTAGCAACTGTAATGATTCATTGCACAACTGTGGCAAGAAAGGCTGTAAAATGGGGGCAAAATTCACTTAAGAAATGTCTCACTGAGCAACGGAAATTGTGGTCATAACTGAAGGCACTCTGTATTCTGTCCAGCTGAATTCTAATCCTACCTCCATTCCTAAAACTCGCAGGGGGTCTTGCCTTTGGCCGCTGGACATTTCCCTACCTGAGCTCACTGCAGTGTAAAAAGAGAAGGGATGCCCCCATGTTTTTTTTTTGAGCCTCTTGGAGAAAGGGGGTGGGGTGAATAAAATCGTTCATATTCCCCTCAAAAAAAAATGTCTAGGGATGAGGTGAGGAAACCAACTTCAACGTGCCCAGATGCACTTGTGGAATTCCACTGAATACAGCATACCCAAACCAAGCCTTTGCCTTAAGCCTGGCCTGATTAGAAAAGAAGAAAAGAGCTGACTGGCTTCATTAGGCTTGAGAGAGAAAGAGAGAAGTTATGCCCCACCCTTGAAGCCACAATTTGCTTCCATCTGAATTATTGATGCCGAGAAGGGACAACTCCCTTCAGCTCAGACTTCGCCATGGCTAAAAAAAAAATCCAAACCCCTAAATATGCTCTTGTTTTATATGGGTGCCCACGTGTACAACCGAACAAGCAATCTAAATCTGTCCTCTTCAGGTGGCTTTCTGAATTCAGGGAAGCCACATCCCTACGTATAGTACATTAAAATAAAAAGAAGAGGATTTAAAGGAAACCAGAGTTGCAGTAGAGAAAGAAAAGGGAGGAAACGGGATCCAGAGAGTTGCTCCCATTGAAGAACCCGAGTTGGGTTCTGCCAATTCTCAGTTGTGCCCCTCCCCCCTTCAGCGCAAGCCTGATTCCACTTGGGTACCAAAATGATGCCCCTGCGAGGCACCCTCTCCACTAGGCACCGATGTGCAAGAGAAGCAGACACGCAAACACACTCTCACAAGTTAAAAGCCACGATTTTTCCCTTTCGTGCAGCTTTGTACACGGAGCAGAAACCTGCCTTTGTTTCCTGAGCTCCGAGGGATCGTCCTCGCGTGCAGGGAAGGGGTTCAGGTGATCTCCCGATCTTCCCTTTCTTCCTCCCTCCTCGATTCGATCGGGAAACGCCAAACCAACAAACGCATTAGTTCTATCCCGCAACGCAAAACGTGGAGGTTGGGCACACAGTTCAGCCCTGGGAAACCCACCCATTTGCTCGCGCCAGATCTTCCCAGAAAACCGAAGTCCCGAAGGGGCGCTTCTTACCCATTTTTTCCCCTTCCCAGGAGGAGTGGCGATTGTCCTGGACAGATCAAAAAGCAGGGCGAGACGAAAGCAAAATGAAAGAGGAGCAGCGGGCAAGAACAGAATCGTTGGCTTATTTTTTTTTTAAATTGTGGTTGCCTCTTTTTTCCTCTTAAAAAAAAAAAAAAGCTCTCCAACGGAGCTGTCCACGGTCCGTGGTTCTGAAACGTTGCTGGCTGAGGGGTGGAGCTAGGAAGGAAAAGGTGGGGTTAGAGAGAAGGCTAAAGAAAGGCAGGGGTGGACGGGGTGTGTATGCCTGTTGTGTGGAGATGTGGGGAAAGGGTCCACGGATTGCAAGTTCAACATATAAAGCGATATCCATTCTGGAAGAGGGCATGGAAGTCATGTAAGGCCTTGCACACAGAGCCATGACTTAATGTAACATCTGTATATCTTTCTTTTTGTTCACCTTAAAGAAAGGTGGAATGCATGCTGCATTCTGTATTTTCCTTCCTGAAACACCACTGAGTACTAATACCCCTATACACTTATCTACGTATATATCACAAGGGTCTGTGAATTCAATTCAGCCTCACAAGCATTCAACTGCATGTCTTTGATTACAAAGCACGATACCCCCTTGATAAGGATACTCTAAGAAATTGAGGGAGTGGGGTTACATAAACAAGATAGTTACCCCCACTCTGCTGAGCATCTCAATCTAGATCTCAGTGAAAAAAGAGCCAACAGGAGGAGACTTGCTAGAGAAAAGAGGCAAATCAACCCAGAGTCCAAACTTCCAATAATTTTAATTTTCATTCTGGCTTTTTCCAGAAGGTGGTATTGAGAACCTCCTTGAAGAATTTGGGGTATTTGCCATCCCCCCCCAAAAAATATATATACTGTAGAACAGCTCCTTATGTGGAGAAAGGCTGGGCATGATAACCAAGATAATTTATGTGTGTATGATAGTGATGGAAGATCCGCATGGATCATAGTCCTACTATATAGCTCAACTTTTCCAAATATTTGGGATTTAAGGACAGTAGTCCAAAACCAGATATATTGTATCCATTTATCAGACTTACACAGTGTACTTGTGTGAGTGAAGCACGCAAGCACATTTGCGTGCTTGTGTGTGATAAGTGTATGAATATTAGAGAGGAAGAATATATGCACAAGAGTTCATATATAAAACTCTTGATCCATTTTTCATAACTGGCTGACAAATCAGAAACGTGGGAGCCAAAATAGCAGAATAGGAGAATAATAGAATTGGAAGGGACTCTGGAGGTCTTCTAGTCCAACCCTCTGCTCAAGCAGAAAATCCTAGACCATTTCAGACAAATAATTTTCCAATCTCTTGTTTAAAACATCCAACAATGGAGCACCCACAGCTTCTGGAGGAAAGGTGTCCCACTGAAAAACTGTCCTACCTGCCAGGAAATTTCTCCTTATTTCCAGGTTGGTTCTCTCCTTGATTAGTTTTCATCCATTGCTTCTTGTCCTGCCTTCAGGTGCTTTGGAGAATAGCTTGACCCCCTCTTCTTTCTGGCAACCCCTTAAATATTGGAACACTGCTATCCTGTCACCCCTACTCCTTCTTTTCACTAGACTAGCCATATTCAATTCCAGTGAACTATTTGCCAGTGATAGGATATTAAACCCTGAAACAGAGCAATTGCCTCATTTAGTCATCATTTACAATTATGACAGTGGTGAAAAACTAACTTTATATCCAATGCTTTTCAGACATTCACAGGTCTGTAAAGCAAAGGAAAATAAGATCCTAAGTACAGTCAGACCTTTACTTATCAATTGTTTTGCTTAACAATGGAACTTCCAGTTCCCAATTCTGGTCGCTAAACAAGGACTATTTGAGAGGATGTTCCCCACCTCCTCTGCACCCTATGATAAACCTGAAAGCATTTGTATTCTTTCAAGCAATTTTCAAAAATGTTTTGGAATCTATTTCCAGTTGTGGATTCCTTTGTCTGGCTTCCTTTGCTTTTTGTGTTTTTAAGATTCCGATCTTTGCAGCAGATGTGCAGCATTAATGCAAGGTACCAGAAGATGAACGGGTGACTCTTTATGTTGTAGTGTGCATTCTCAGCAAGGCAGTTGGAGAGGGAGATTATATCACAAATGCACAAAAATATACAGAGGAGGCAAGTGAATGAATGTAAGGAAAACAGAAAAAGGCTGAATGGCCGAAATAAGGTTCTCTTGTAGAACAGTGGGAAGGCTCATCTCAAGTGCGGTGAGTGTTTGCTTTCATGATAGAATGGGTCATGTGTTAATGAAGTGGAAAGGTATAGATATTCACACCTGTACAAATAAAAAGAAATGCCAGTCATTCTGTGAAAGAGGCAGAGCACTAAAGAGAAGAGGCTATCTTTGAACTGGGTGGGAATGGTCACTTATGAAGAAGAATGCTGTGTACTGTTGCTAATGGGCTTGTACTGCAGAGGTGATGGAACAAAGATGGACAGAATGGGGGGGGGGGGCGGCTAAAAGAATTGGGATGTATGTATCTATGTTGTGGGTTTGTGTGAGTGAGAGAGGCAGAGAGAGGCATTGCTGCCCTCCTGTGGAGTAAGCAACTCCTCCAACAGATATTTCTGGCTCACTGCATGACAAAATTAAAGTTAGCTGAGTTTTTGGCATTTAGTTTTGTCAATAGCGCACACACACACACACACACACAGAGAGAGAGAGAGAGAGAGAGAGAGAGGGAGGGGGAGAAAGAGAGGGAGGGGGAGAAAGAGAGAGGGAGAGCCATCTTTCTAGTAAACCACTAACTGCTTTTCCTTTCAAAAACCCAGAAGGAAAACACACGAGAACGTGGCTTTGCCCGACACATATTTATAGTGCAAGAATTATTTTCTGTGTAAGGGAACTCTGGACTCCACACTCACTTTCCCCCTCCCTTCTTTGTTGTTCAATCCTCTTCAATCCTCTGATGGATAAATGTCACCGTTCTCCTAAAGAATCTAAGGGTTAGCTTCCACCCTTTTACTTTCTCATCTATTTGGCAAATCTAAGAAGTCTGGATCCCAAGAAACTCCTGCTGTAACATGGGAGTAATACTAGGAAAGAGGAAGAGGAAGGATGAAAAGAAATATTAGTAGAAGAACAAGGGGAGGAGGAGGAGGAGAAAAGAGGGAGAATCCTGGATCAAACCCTTTGATCTATCATCATTGGGATCTAAATTCAACACGCTTGCTTTCCTGGTCCACCATTCTTACTTGCAATTTACCCTCCTTTCACTTGCAAGGCTTCAGTAGCTTTCATCCCAAAGAGAGCATCTTGGAGTTCACCTCACCAACTGTGTTCATTTGAATGCATGTATGTAGGTTACATAGGTACATATAAATACATAAATGCATGTGTATATATATATATGAATGCAATATGCAAAATGTGTATATGCAGATATATGCATAGAGCATGTGATATATTAACATGTATATATACTGTATATATGGAAGGGAGGTGTGTGTGTGTGTGTAAGGAAGGAAGGAAGGAAGGAAAGCATCCATACACCCACACCTCTGTGTGTGTGTGTGTGTGTGATATATATATATATATATATATATATATATATATATATATATATATATATGACACTTATGACAGCTCCATGGCAACATTGTGGAGCTGACACTCAGGTTGCTAAGGCAACCAAATAATTCAGCCAGGCTGTGCTTCACTCTTAATTTCTTTTAGGGCCCAGCTTTCCACACAGTATAATTGGACGAAAAACTCTGCTGTTGTGCCACAATTGCTTCCCTCCCCCATCCTGTCCTCCCAATTCTCAGTACAGTGGTGTGAGATAAGGGGATGAGGGGGGGGGGAAGCAAAGGAGTAGACAAACTGTTGTGTACATCAAGAATATGGGTTCATTGTCAACAGGAAAAAATGTTTCTTTTGCGCAACCTGGTAAAGTCAGACACTCACACTTCAGTTTTCCCTGATTTCAAAGGTTACTTAATGTGTTGGATTCAGTTTTGTATTGTGGTTTTGCCTTAATCATCTTGTATGCCAACAATTTTTTTTTTACAGCTGGTCATGTTTACCTAATTAATTGATGAAACCATTACTTGAGGCTAAAAGGGAGGCTCTGAATCACTGGGAACCTTCTTATTTATTCCAAAGAAAAAGACTACCAATACAGTCTGGGATGTTTACTTTGGAAAATTTATTCCATTTAAAACACGGAAGTTAAATTCAGAAGGGGGGGGGAGGAATGCCTCAATCTTTTTTGGAGGGTGGCAATTATTTGGCAACCAATAGAACAGTGAGGGCTACACCTTTTTGTTGTCAAGTTCCGAAAGCGCATGCATGATGCACTTACTCGCACACGCACACACACACAAACACACCCGCACCCCATTTTGGGTCTGGAAGGCCTCCTGCACCAACCTGGAAGCCAAAACGGGGCAAGGGGCGCTGTGTAAGGCCTCAAAATGCAATGCGAGTGCCCCCCCCATGCATGTACCCTGCCCCCGTGCATGCACGGCAGAGGCTCAAAGACGAGCTGGCCAGTGGGAGGCGCGTGCGCATGTGCATTGGAGCTGGGCTGGGGCGACAGCTGGTATACCCACAGAGAGGGCTCTGTGTGCCACTCGAGTGCCATAGGTTTGCCATCACGGCTACAGAAGGTAGCCAAGCCTCTCACACCTGGGAGACCTCACAGTCCTGCATAGCCAAGATGTTTTCATAGACAGCAGGATGCTCCAGGATCACCCTGTCATTCTTTGGAGCAGACTGGATCCCATCCAGGAGACACTGGTGTAAGAAGACATACTGGTCCTGTAGAAAAGGAGACAGGAGCAGGGGAGGATTTGACAGCTGAAACAGGCAGGAACAATTGATTTGAGTTGTCCCACAGGAACATCACCAGTGAACAGCAGTGTTGGCCAATTTGTTGTGGTGGGGGGGAGAGATGATGCAGAATTTGCACTGGGAAATGTGACTCTTTGTATAGCTATGCACGTGGCAAGCTCAGTTCGGAGCCGATTCAAATGTACCCCAGTTCCTGCCAGAGCATAAACCCATCTGCCCAGCTTGGGGGAAAGTGCCCAGCTGATTTCAAAACGCCAAGTCAGATCAGACCTGGAAGCAGTAATTGGTCCTGGAAGATCACCAGAAAAATCCATGGCTGTTTGGGAGATCAGAACAAAAGCGATTGGCAGTGGGAGATCAACAGAGAATTTCAGGGCAGCAGCCTAGCCTTGGAGGGTTAAAAATTTAATACTGCAAGAAGACAACTGTTTCCTTCCTGTTGCCAAGAAAACTAAATAGATGTATTGATGTAGTCACCAGGAGTAGAGCTCAACTCCAAGGCAGGTTTATCTTGTCACAGTAAATCGAAACACCAACTGAGTGGCTTCACAAGGCTAGTCCTGGTTAATAAGCGGATAGAAAATGACCAGGAAGTTCTTGATGAAGATCAAAAGCACCCCAAGTAAGAAGACCATAGCAAAGGTGCTTTTCCAAAAGACAGCTGGAGTTTCTTGATTATTATTTTTTTTGCTCGGAAAACATTTCACTTCTCATCCAAGAAGTTTCTTCAGTTCTAACTGACTGGTGGGGAATGGAAGGGTTTATATTCTTTGCAGTCATCTGGTTGTTAGCACTCTGAAGGTCAATTACTAGCTCTCTGAGAATTTCTGAGGCCACTTGGGGGTTTATCTGTGCCCTCAGGGTCTCCTGAATCAGAGTGCAGATGGCTGTGGAACTTTCTTGGGACTGCTGAAAGGACTAGGGTCAGGGGTGGGATTGAAAAATGTCAACAACTGGTTCTCTGTAGGTGGGTACAGCCATGATGGGCTTGGCCTACTCATCCTCCTGCAGCATGGTGGGGTAGGGGACGTTTTTGGAGGCTGGAAACAGGGTCGTTTTTGGACTTCCGGTAGGCTTTTCCTGAGCCTCCAGGAGAGCGAAAACGGCCTCTCCAAACTCCAGAGACTCTCCGGAGGATGGAAACGGGCCCGTTTTTCACCTTCCGAGAGCCTCCGTGCAAGGCCTATACTTACCTGGCATAGTGGTGGGTTTCAAATTTTTTTGGAACCTACTCTGTGGGTGTGGCCTCCTTTGTGGGAGTGGCTTGCCAGCCATGTGACCTGGTGGGAGTGGCTTGCCGTCCATGTGTTTTCTTTCTCTCTTTTACTCTCTTTCCTTCCTTTTGTCTCTCTGTCCCTTTTTCCTTTTATTCTTTCATCTCTCTCACTTTTTCTTTCTTTTTT